GTCGTGGCACAGAAAATCGAGGATTTAACGGAATCCAAAAATTTTTTCGCAGAACTATTTCAAATAATAAGTAGATTCGTTCTAGCGAAAAAAATTTTTTGGGGTTAGGTGCACTTTAATAGGCGGATCAATAATAGCTAGTCAGTACCACGGATATAGATGGAGTCTCGATTGTACATCTATGTATGTATGTAAAAAAAAAATGGATTTTCAATAATTGGAATAAGGGGTCGGAGAAAGTCAACTGACAACATTTTTTTTTTCCAATAGCTGATATATTTTCTGATGCTCCGAACTCACAGAAAGGCTGTTATTTATTCAGGTTGGAGTTAATTATATAAATAACAATTTTTATAACATAATTTGAGACGATAATTTTCTTAGGCCTCGCGTCCACACAACGGGACGGAGGAATTTGAAAATGCAGCTTTATTTCTACGGCTAGGTTTACCATCCACACCGTCACGAAAGCGGAGCTTTACGAAAACGCTCTTCAAACCGGAGGAATTTGAAAACGCTGGCTTTTCGTTTTCGTGTGGACAGAACACATTTTGAAAACGGAGCTTTTTGAAAACGATGACCTTACGATAATAATGTGATTTCACTGCCCGAGGTTTTTTTCAAACACAAATCCAAAATGGCCGTTGATTGTTGCGTTTCTAATTCCGCCGGTGTAGTGTGGCCGGAAAACATTTTCAGAGTGAAGCCTCCGTTTGCAAATTCCTCCAGCGTAGTGTGGACCGGGCCTTACTTGTTCCCTTCAGCATAGTCACAGTTTTTTCTCATTTGACTTACAATAACAAAATTTAACGTGGAGTTGACGTATTTTCAGGCAATTTTGCAGTTTCTGCCCAAAATTGCCTCACATCCTTGTTGAATGGCTTTCAAGCTTAAGACGTGAAATATCCCAATTCAATTGAATTGACTGACAATTTACAGTTAAAATTCTTCAAAACACGAATTTGAAGTTCTTCGGCCACCAAAGCATTTATTTTTTTAAAAGGTGAGTGTATGATGTCCTTCCAGGTTCAAGAAGCTAAGTCACGGTATTTTGAGTTATTTTGGGCTCGAACAAAATTGCCTTTAAATTGAAATAATCCTGAAGGTAATAGTTTACTAAGAAAGAAAAACACCAAAGAGATGACAAAAATCCATAAAGGAACAAGGATGGTCAAGGATGGAGAAGATTAACACGGATTACAAAGGACGAACTTGAAAACTTCAGGCTAAACTTTTCAAGATGCCCTAACCTTTTCATAGCGTTGACTGTGATTTGTTCTTAGGAGTATTAACAGACCGTCAGCGTGCCAGTATAGATGCCATCCGTAATAAAGTCTTCCTTTACGTGTTGGTGTTTCTGATCTGCTGGAGCCCAGGTAACTGAGATTTGATTTCAAGGTACAACATCAGGAGCATAGCTTCGAAAAGTTAAACCCAAAAAGACATATTTTGATTGCAGGAATTAACCTTTTCTAAAGAATTGCTATATAAGTGCACTGAAGCCAGGAAAGGATTGTTGTAATGAGTTTTGCAAGCACAAAGTTGTTACTGAAGTAAAACTGAAAAGTCGTGGCGTTTAGTCTGTCGTTGTATCTTGCAAAAGACACAGACACATTCCATAGAAAAATGTACCCAAGGATTGGAACCCTGAGGTGCTCTCTTATGTTAGCTGCATAAATTTGTGGGGTACCAGAGGGCAAGGTTTTTGAGCCATGTTGATCTGCAATATGGTATATTGATTAGATAGAACTACCTCTTTTCCACTGGAAATCGAGGAATTTCATTCCCTTCTCAAATGTTTTTAAAAAGTAGAAGCCGCTCCTGGATAACGTGCAGTCGTCTGCTATTTCCTTTGTTTTACACGAAATAATGACTTTTCCGCGTCTGCGCGTAGGCTATTCCTTGTTAGCCGAGGTCGTGTATCAGAGACCTGTATCAATTTCAGGGGTCTGAAATTAAAAGATTGACGTCAGTTTTTTATGCGTCTGTCCTGTTATTGATCATGAATTTCGTCATAATATCGTCAAAGGAGCTGTGGATCCACGAGGCGATAGCCGAGTTGCTCCGCAGACTACTTTGACAACGTTATGACGGAATTCATTGTCAATAACAGGACAGACGCATGAAAAACTGACGTCAGTTTGTTTTTTACAATAACAAATTCTTATCAATAAATTCTCAAGCGTATAAGTATTGAGAATGGGAAACTCATCATTCTTTTCAGTTTAAGGGCATTGTGCTGATATAGCACGAATTTCTCACCAGTAATATTCAGTAAAGTTTCAAAATAAACCACATTTTGTAGTCCTTGAAAAACTTTGATTTTGAAAGCGCTGACTCACAATTTTTTTTTTGTCCAGCCCTGGTGGTAGCAGTATGCGACATAGATCCAAGAGTAACCCTCTCTAACATGCACCATTGGCCCGTGCTGTTTGTGATGCTGGTAAGAACTCTGGCTTGAATTGGCCGCCACATTTTCATCAATAGCATAATTGCCTTTTCTCATGTTGTACAACCCACATTCCCCGATTTTCTTAGTGACCAAGGGCTAACTTGCGCTCATAACATTGTTTATTCAAATTAAAATCAGTGTTTCAGTTTATAACAAGCACGTGGCTTTGATCAAATGACAGGACCAAGCTATGCAGTCAGAACGTTGATGTTGCGGAGTTCAGTGTTTGTTGAAAATCTTGAGTAAGAGTTGCGGCGGCCTGTTACCGCTGCATAAAAGCGCGGGAAAATTCCCACCAACAAAACCACTATTGGTACAGCAAAATTTACTTTTGCACCTGGTTGGCTGATGCAACAGCATCTTTAACTTGACTTTTGGTTAGTCTGGGTGCGTAGCACGAGTTAGTGAACGCGTCAATTTATAGATTACTGCTAGTAACCGCACGACGGTTTTTATTGTTTGTCAGTATGAAAACGTCCGACGTGTAATGTACTGTCATTTCTTGTGTGTCTGTTGACAGGGTCTGACAGCACCCATGCAAGGCTTTTTCAACTGTATCGTGTACGGCTGGTCAAGGAAAAGTTTCCGTGACGCCTCAGGACAGCGGAGAAGTTTGTTGCTGGATTCCGACGAACATGGCTCTCTTCATAATCGACGGGAGTCTCAAGGATCCATGCGCTCGTTGTGACAGTAAAGCCCTATAAATATTGAAAGGGAATGTTTATTTTATGCGTGCTTTGTTCAGCATTTTGACGCTCATCAACTGCGCGACTATTCAGAAGGCGTTTCATGAAGTTAAGAGTTTTTAGTATCGATTTCATTACGTGTTTTAACAACCATGTAAACGAATCAGTGGATCCTCGCTTCGTTTTTACGTAATCAAGGAGGATCCATAAAAATGACGTGCACAAGACGATAAAGTACAAAGTAATTTATTATATCTCTCAGTTACTACGCGCGCTGTGATTGGTCGATTTAGCGGGCCGTATATATACTCTACTGTACGGTCCGCTAAAATTTAAAGCTGTTTTTGCTAAAATGTTTCGTGGTTTATCACCAAGTGTTCTTTACTTTTATAGCAAGTAAAAGTTCAAAACTTTCTTTGACCTAAAATTGTGTATGAGTCAAAACTTGCTAACGACTTTACAACGATTTCAAATTGACTTGTTTTGCTTTCGACGTACTTCAGAAATTTGAAGCCGTCCCGCGTGAATAGAAATCGTTCCCGAACCCGTCAGACCCTCAGTAGAGATATGATAAATATCGTACCAACCTCGTTTTCTCGGTCTGTACTGTAAGTTACGGATCCTCGTTTTTTTCCCCATCGTTTTACGGCCCGCGCGCCTCGCACTCGAGCCATAAATCGAAGGGGAAAAAAACTCGGTCCGTAACTCACAGTACAGACCTCGAACTCAGTTAATAAGAGGTATATATTTTAAAGCTATTTAGGTTCATTCGTAGCTGGAAATATGTAGCGAATCTGCCCAAATCTATTTAAAATGTAACATAAGTATTTACAGTCAAAGCTGCTTTGGGACCGCGTCTTAGCGTTTATGGGCGAGATTATCTTACCAAAGGAACAGAAACTCGTAACGAGGTTTCTGACCATTCAAAATGGGGCGGTAAAGTGTGACTTGAACTAAACCTGTGAGCAGACTGACAGAAACTTCTTAAACAGTGATTAAGAAAGAAGACAAAGTAAGAAGTGAAAGTGTTGTTCAGAGGTACAGCCTGCTGGGTTTCTCGCCTGTTATTTCAGTGTCGAAAAATAGATACGGCGGCATAAGTTTCCTCGAGTTATTGGTCCCTCGATTTTCGGATTCTGTTTTTAGAATTATGAAACAACTGGACTTCTTCCAAGTCCTGTGATCATGAAGTAACCTGTACATGCCTTACGTTAACTATGTCGACTAATATTTACTTTGCAGGAACCTAATAACGTGTCTAAAACCAAAATGTAAAAAAAAATGTTTATTTCCAAAAATGCTCAATAATTAAGATCAAAGTGCCAACAAAAATTCAAAAGTTATCTGTTATAAAACAGACTTTTCTCTATATAGGCTGGATCCCTCCCGTATAGACGGTCGTTAAATGAAATTTTCTTATTTATTGATATTTTTTAACGCTGATATTTTTATGTTGTTTATCTAAATGTCTCATTGCATGCGCTAAGAGTACGTTGCTATGTATATAAGAGTATTTAAAATAAAATCACTCCGTGTGCTTAATGGTTCTTCAAGTGTTTTCTCTGACCACTGAAGACGAATTATGTCCCTGAGTAAATCCGGCTTCCAGCGAGGGCATTCATGATCACAGCTATAATGTCTGCAAGAAAATCCTCCCTAAGAAGGGAAATGAGAACCCCAATAGGGAGCTTAAGCAAACCACGACGACGACGGCAACGAGAACGTCACTAAACAAAAGGTTTAATGAGGAAAACAATCGCTGTGCACGTGCGTTATAAATCTTTGTACATTTATTTGCCGTCCTCTGCAAAACAACAACGTGAAATGACCGACGGCATCGTCGTCGTTGCTCCCTAATATGGCTATCGTGATCTCATGTGAACGGTGAAGTCCGCATACGAGCCAAGTGGCCCATCAGGCCGGAACTTATCCCTGTTTCTGTAGCTGCATGAAGCGACTAGAAGTATTTCTACTCCCCCCTGGATGAGATGCTAGTCCATCGCTGGGTTACCCCCAGCATTAAGTTCGCCGGTACCCAGTTATACACCTGGGTGAAGAGAGGCACTGTGAGAGTTAAGTGTCTTGCCCAAGAACACAACTCAATGTCCCCGGCCTGGGATCGAACCCGGACCGCTCGATCCGGATCGGAGAGGAAGGCACTAACCATGAAGCCACGGTGGAAACGCTCCATGTAGCAGATCAAGAGAAAAGAAGCTAAAAGAGGTGCGTAATTGTGCATTACATTTATCATGAGTGGGCTGTGTGGAACTCATCATTCGCCACTCTAGAAACGAGGAGAAACTCGCTGGGCGAGTCTCAAGGTGATGTGAGAAGGGTGCCCACCAGCTTATTCCCGCTCCAATTTTTCTGGAAAGAACATCTATTTTGCAGTCTAATAATAAGCTAGACGACAACGGTAATCAAAAGGCCTTCTGAGCCACTACAGCCACCTTGTTGCGCACAGCTGCAAGCAAAACAAGCCTCACCGCGCCGCTCGAGTTATCATGCGGAATCTAGGAAATAAGTGAAGTTTCATAGCAATCCTTTGCAAACTTATACCAATATGGGACTCTAAACTTGCTCATTTTCGCAAAGAAAAGTATGCCGAGGTGGGGGCATGAAATTGGTTACCCGGCTCGTGCAGTTCTCTAAGGAATCAAAATTGACGTTTGGCGGGAGTTTGGAATCTAATGTGGGCTGTCTGTGCAGCCAACTTAGGCTGCGCCGTGTGCTTTTGGTCAGCAGTAATACAAAATGGCGGTCGCTTCTTCTGCTTGTCAGGTTTGAGTTATATCTCCCTGTTTGGTTGCGCTGTAGAGCGGATGAATTTTCGTTCTATTTCGGTCACTGCACCGGGAAAGATAATTATTCATGGAGAACATGCAGTCGTTTACGGAAAGGTAGGGAAATTTTTGTAGTCTTTCCTGTACATGTTTAGAAGACTTAATGCGCTGATGAGAGGTTCGAAGTGGCTTCCTCCTTCAATGCAATGCAAGCTATCACACTTAGCCAGGCATGGCCAGCGATCAATTGTATTAAATTTCCCCTGTTCAAAATTTGCCTTTAATAGAAAGCTGTTGCATCCGCTATCGGTTTAAGGACGCAATTGAAGCTGGAATCAAAGAGTGACGCGCAGGTCACACTAAATCTACTGAACTTTAAAACAGTTTGCAAATGGAACACAGATGAGTTGCAGAGAGATGTCAAAAAGCTTACTGGTAGGCTGTTTGTCTGGAACTTACTACATGTATAGCTTACTCTACTTTATATTTAGGCTAACCTGAGTGCTATTTAGAGAGTAAAATGTCTTGGCCAAGACCACAATACAGTGACTATGGACAGGGCTCGAACCAGACCATTCAATCAGGGGCCCAACTCGGTAACCATTAGGGGACCATAAGCCCAAGTTCAAAAAGGGCAAGTTTTAAGGTGGCCGAACACAGTTTTCGTGTGCTCTTTTGTTGATGCAATTCAGTACACGCACAAGGATTGCAAAAACAAACATGCCGTCAATAGAGCAATCATTTCATTTACTCAACACCCGCACTATCTGTGCTATTTTTCTCTATTATTGAACGCAGGGTATTGATGGCTTTAGTCTTTTATTACAAAGATATGTTAGAAAAGCTAATGATGCAAAGAACCCAGCAATTCTCAGCTTTTTCTTAGTTACCAAAAGAACCCAGTTAAATGCAACATGTGCGCAGTTGCACGGAAAATTGAGACCGATTGCTTTTGCAGAAACTTGCGAATTTCTAACGATCCAGTTTGTTAGAATTTCAAGAAATTTGGCAAAAAAGTAGTTCAGAAACCACATGAATGATGATCTATCACAAAAAATTTGAATTTTGATATAGAGAATTTATAATAATTCAGAACATGCAGTGAAAAGGATTTACGGCGAATTACGAAAATCATCTATGTCAAAATTTTATTAAAACAGTGTTGACAGAAGGGATTAATGCCAATTCGTAGTTGGCAAATCATGAAAAAAATCTAGCGACTGGATTTTTTTTAAATAAACAAAAACCATTTTTTAAGCCTTGTTTTTAACCAGCACCCATTGCCATGGCAACAGCACACACCTTAGCCAAAATGTGAGAATAAACCCCTCTGTGGTTAACATTGACTCTTGCAAAAAGCAGGCTCCAAAGCATAAATAGTTTGAAAGTAGTGGTGAATTAGGCACTTGAAAACTGTGTTCGGCCACCTTAAAGGGACCAGGTGTGGAACTACTTCATGCATTTCTGTCTATGAGTTACTGGTAGAAACAGCTAATTTGCTCACGTTGATCCAGTAGCAGACCCGTAGTGAACCTTTTCTAGGTGAAAAGGTGCTCGTGAAACAACCCCTCAAAACAACAAGCCTGATAAGAGCCAGTCTCACACCTGAACCATTATCGACATGTCCTGAGGTAACATAGCCTGAGTGCCCACCTTTATGTGAGCTGCCAGTGTTTGGTCAAATGCAATGGGAGGGATGGAGGAAGTTGATTTTTAACTGTAATGCTTTGGTTGCTGGTCTGCCAATACTGCTCAATCTTCTGTCCATCCAAGGTTCAGATGTGTCATGTTGCACAATGGAAGGAAGAGAGTTGTTCAACAAGTTTGTGGACCATTGTGAGGTCACAGAAGTAGATCAGAGGCTTATCAAGGATTCCATTAGTGTGTTTGTTTTCTTGGTGGGTAGCATTCTGGAGGAATTTGAAAGGTGAGCAAAAAAAAAAATTACATTTAGATGATCCAAACAGTTAGTTAGTGTGGAGTAAGGTAGAGCATGCCACCATTCTTGTAATCACCGTAATGGTTATAAATGTCCACTTTGTTTCCAGACTTCCATCATTCTCAGTTGAAGTGAACACAACAATTCCTATTGGTGCTGGTCTTGGGTCATCAGCATCATACTGTGTTTGTCTTGGCACAGCACTCCTGGCAGCTACAGGAAGGATTTCACTACCTTCAGTGATAGCAGCTACTGGCAGTGTCTTACATTCTTCTGCTCTATCTGCTACTGAGGCTGAAACAAATGTATCTTTGTCTGCTCAAGACTTGGAGTTAATTTGCAAATGGAGTTTAGAAGCTGAAAAGCTTGTTCATGGAAAGCCATCTGGAATTGACAACTCAGTTTGCACATATGGCAAGTGCAAGTTTTAGGCATTAGAACCGAGAGAAAAACAGTAAACTTTGAAATGAGAAAATACAAAAAAAAAATCATAACTCCAGTCTGTTATCTATGATGGCTACCTGTAGGTTCAGTGAAGATGTTTCTTTCTTCATTTATTACAGTGAAGCTTGATGTGGATTTTATAATTCAGTGCCCAAGTCCTCAAGGGATTTGTTTTGACCCACTGTTTTAATTAGTTGATGATTATTTTCATTTTTTCTTTTGTTTTCTTTTGTAGGAGGAGTTCTTACATTCCAAGATGGCATCATCAAACATTTAACAAGGTATCTAATAATGAAAATGGTGAAACTATTCCCTTTTATGAATAGCTTCCTCAATTATAACATGATCAGGTTAATTACAGTCTACTTGAGTCTGCTTGAATCTGCTTGAGTTTACTTGAGAACATCAGCACTTTTTGCATGTAGTAAACTCTGACAGTAATTCAAGAAGGCAAATAGCTTGGTTCAAAAGTCGTTAATCAGTAAATAACCACCTATAAAAATTATATTGATTGAGCTAACAGTAAAATATTGAATCTTCAATGTACTGCACTTACTTTTTAATTATTAATAGTAACCAGCATGTTAAGCTAACAACTGCAGTAGATAAACTGTGTACTTGTAAATAATGTGGACACCCATGATTTTCTTTTTCTTGATGAAAGTATATCATTCTCTTTCTTAACTGTTGATAGGGGTTTGTTAGCTACCCTGCGGTGTAGGTGTTTTCCATGCATTCACGAGTTATCAGTATTAGCTCATGATCAAGTAGATTCGTTGCCATGTTTTTTTAGGAAAAGTGGGCAGGGAGGGGGTGGGGGCAGAAGGAGGAAAACAACGCCTGCACCCAAAGGCTGTGAAAACGAGAAACACCCCTAATTAATTGCACTTCACTGCTTTCTGAAAAATGATCAACCAGCCAATCAAAATGAACTGAAAGCTAAAATTCACTTGTGATAAAAACAAAAACACCTGGAGAGTCCACAGGCTGCCAAACATTGGTAAGAATAATGTGGCACTAATGTTATGTAGTGTATAAATGTCTAAAAAAAGACTCCTAGTGATAACTGTAGGGTTTGCAAGGTTTCTTTCAAAATGAAGTTTTGAAATATTTGCAAGCAAAGCCATTCTTAGTTGGAGAATCTTTTCAAGCTCTCAAAACAGCAGGATTGCTTTGGAGTCATACAAGCCAAAATTTCCAGACAAGAGAGTTAAGTTGGTTAATGCCATTGGTGCAAGATGCTCTGTGATTTTGTGATTGTGTCTGCAACACACTGTGGACGGAAATTCACAACTTACCAATACATCTTTGTCAAGATGTGAATCCCTTGCACTAGTGACAGCAGTGGTTGCTCACATGAGAAATGCCAAAAATGTCTACAGTGGATTACAGAATTTCAATTCAATGTTTTTTTTTGTTAAATCATTTGGGGGTCTGTTTGACTCTCAACTGATATATTGATTTACAGTTTTGGCAGGTATCAATCTATAAAGTCTACACCGCACCAATCACAGACTCTGTTCGTGGATGAACAGCGTTTCTCAAATGAACAATGACTGCCAGTAGCCATATTTTTCCTTCCCCATACCCTCCACCATACTCCTCTTTTAGCCTCACTCCTACTCCCTAGGATGCCCTTTCATCTCTCCCCAAGCCTCTTCTTAGTTTGAATCCAGGATGGAGCTTGCTTTATCAAAATGTGCTTGCTTGCCATACTATGCCTGTATTGCAGGCTATTTGTTGTCATGCCAGTTACTTTCCAGTAAATGGTTTTATGAACTTGATCAGGTTACAAACCAAAAAAGGTTGTCTTTGTATAGGTAGCATTCTTGAAAATAATTTAAAAGTTTTGCATTATTTCCTTCAGAATTCCTCAATTGAATATTCTTGTAACCCATACCAAGATACCTCGTAGTACAAAGGACTTGGTGTCTGGTCTAAGGGAAAGATATCAGCAGGTGGAGTGAAATCATGTTGTTTTATAACTGAATGAGAAAATATTATGTGGACAGTTGAGTCCCACTATTTTGAACTCTGATGAGGAACAAAAAATAGTCCAAAATAGCGGATAGTAAATGACTGACGGGAAAATCAAAGAGAGATGGTTTTGAGATCAAAATAATGGGGAAATCAAAATAACCAAGTTTGAATAGTAGTGTCCAACTGTTTCTGTACATGTAGTTTATTCTGAACTGGGTGTCAATACAAAAAAGGTCATTCAGACTGATGTCTTTTTTATGAACCAAGAGCTTCCTTTTCATTCCTGAGCTTCTGTCAGTGAGTGTTTTGCTTTTAATTAGTAACTTCTTTTTATTATGATCCTTTAGACCTTCAGTGCATATTGTTAGAAATTTCTAAAAAGAGGATAATATGGAACCCTAGTAAATAGTTTAATTTGCTCCTGTGTTAAATAAAAAATTCATGTATCTGAAGTTTGCACACCAAACAACTATAAATGTAACTCTGGAGAACACATTGAAAGCGGACTGAAATGAACTTAAATTAAGTTACTAATCTTATAATGATTTCTGTAACGTCATATGACTATGAAATCCATTTCGTTTTGCCAAATTTCTCCTTCAGCTCCCAGCTGTTTATAATCCCTTGTTTGATGCAATTGGTGCCATTGCAGAAGAGAGCTGTCTTTATCTTGAGAAGCTCTACCAAATGCAAGGTATATTTATGTTTAAAGTGTGAAGCCTTGGAGCCGACTGGCTCATAGCTGTGGGAGCTTATCCTGGTTTCTATAGCATGAAGCGGCTAGAAGTATTTCTACTCCCCCTGGACGGGATGCGAGTCGATTGCAGGTCACTCCCCTGCAATTTGTTAGGTTTCCCCAACAATTTGCTGGTATCCATTTATACTCCTGGATGGACAGAGGCACTGTGAGAATTAAGTGTCTGGCTCAAGAACACAACACAGTGTCCCCGGCTAGGGCTTTGAACCCGGACCGCTCGATCTGGGGACGAGTGCACTAACCATGAGGCCACCGTGCCTCCCATATTTATGTTTAATTTACTTAAATCTCTGACATTTGTGATAATAAAAGTAATGCTCCACATTCCAGTCTATCAAATTGTTTCACCCAACTAAATGGAGCCCAAAACCAAAACAATAACCATAGATCACTTTTGAGAAGCCTATGAGTCAGTTGGAAGATCAAAAGGGTTGACTGTTTATTATCAATTGACAACGCTGCTAACTCTTGTTTTCACAGCATGAGCAACTAAAAAAAACACCTACAGCCAATGATTTATTGCTTATAATATACTTGTAATGATTGATCTGACACTATTCCATTAATTGACAAGAACACTTGTTACTTTTATTTTGAGCAGCTGAGCCAAACCAAACTGAGAAAAATTATCAGGAGTATCATTGCATGTTAGAGGTAAATATTTCTCATTTAATGTGCTTGTACTTCCTATAGCTAAACTGTCTGAACTCTGAACTGGACTGAAATTAGTCATTTTAGTTTGATAGATTGATTCCCATTCTTCTTGCCAGCTGTTCAAGGGAGGTTAGAATTGGGTAGGGCTAGGGGAAGGGGGTTAGAGTTGGGAAGATATGCAGTTCAGCCAGGAATCCGTGTTAACGGAAAGCATGTGGAAATATGTTATATTAATATTTGATGATTTGCAAGGATATTTTCCCACAAACCACAAGCAGCCCTTCATTTATCTCAGTCCATCACATGTGATACAAAAGAAAGCCTAAGAGGGAAGAAGGAAAACTGGCCACACAAAACCAGGGAAGAGATTTCTCATGGCCATTTTTCCTCTCCTGCTTTCTTTCACATCATGCTCAAGGTGGACTAAGAAATTAAGGAGACTGCTCATAGATACATGTATGTGTGTTCGTAAACATTCCCACTGGCAATACTCATGATATCCATGTGCTCAATGAGGTAAAATGACAGAGATTTTCATTTACCACTCGATTTCATAAAAAACTATTCAGTTCTGCACACACACAATTTAGCACTGTTTTCACTCAGTGCTTTTGATATAATAAGAAGAATGGGGCTCTGCAATCATCTCACCGCTAATGTCACTTTATCTAGTAATTAGTTTTTTTTTTACGATACCAAATAACCGTATTTGTCAAAAGGTAAGTGCCCAACAATAATTACATCAGTTGAACCAATAATCCCAGGGGAGGGGGGGTACTCTCTTATATGGGCTATATACTGTAAATCCTCCAATTAGCAGCCCCCCTCGAGTAAGCGTCCCCCTCGAATAAGCACCCCCTTCAAAAAAGCACCCCTCCTATCACCCAAAATTTAAAATAAGCCCCCCCCTGGATAAGCGCTCCCCTCCCCCCCTCATTTTGTGGGCGGGTAATGAGACAACAAAGGATGTATAGATTTGTGCATTGTTTCAGTTTGTGAACACGTTAAGTGAACACGTTGAACACGTTAAGTACTAACGGCGCCGCCATTTGAACTTTAGGATCAGCTTTTTATGTCAATGAACAGTTTATGTTGTTTAGGGGGAGATGATGTATCAAAAAAAAATGATCATGTCAGGCCACGATTTAGGAAAAATTAAATAAGCGCCCCCTTCCCCCTCGTATAAGTGTCCCCCTCGAATAAGCATCCCCGTCTTCTCCTAAATTTGAAATAAGCGCGGCCCCAAAGGGTATGGTTTTTTAGCCGTTTTGGTCAGAAATAGGGTATCGATTTTGTGCATTTTGGTTTCAAATAGTGTATGGCTTTTACACTCTGGTCTTGAATTGGGTATGTTTTTAGAAGAAGCTACTTTTTCATCATTATCGATAAGTTCATCAACAAAAGCCCTTCACAATGACCTTAACATCGCTCTGAACTAAGGACCTAACTATAAGGCAGGTCTGAAACGCTATTGATTTTTACACTTAAAAGGGTAAGGTATTAAAAAGGGTGTCAAATTTTTAAATCGCAGATTTTGGTCTTAAATAGGATAAAGGTTGGCTGCACACCCCATCCAGTGTTTCTGGGAATACCCCCCCTCCTCTCCCTCCCTCCCCAGGCCAATAATCAAATTAAATTTCAACAGAGTACTGGCTTTCCTAAATGCTGAGTGTGAAGTTTCAATGGCTTAAAGACTGACTGGGCAAATTGTTCTGGCTTCTCAAGAGTGTTACTTGCAAGTCAAGCATGTGAACAAGAGATATATGGCACTCACCGTAACTTTCATTTCTATCATTTCAGAAACTTATTGACCTGAACCAACAGTTACTTGTTACGTTAGGAGTGAGTCACGCCTCACTAGACCAGCTGTGTCACGTGACAGCTCGACACGGCATGCACTCCAAGCTGACCGGAGCGGGTGGGGGAGGATGTGCTCTAACACTTGTCACGCCAGGTATACACGTCATCTATGCTAAGTAAAAGGCTAGGGGTACTCTCGAAACGTCAGCGGCTAAAAGATGCATGTTCATGATAATGGTCTAGCTATTTAATGTTATAGTCACGAAATAAGTCCACTGAAGGCAGAAAAATGACTGCAATTATAGGTTGTACATGAGCCTGGGTAGTGATGTCAAATTGAAAAAGTGATCTAAAATTGTCAAATTGTCAAATTGTGATGTCAAACTGAAAAAGTCTGCCAGACTTTTTGAATTTCTTTCGTCGTGTCTTGGAAACATCGCTAAATAGTTATTGCTAGTTGTTAGTTGTTCACATAATATCTTTGTTATGGTGATCTAAAAGTAGTTTTGTTGTGTACCAAGTAAAGGTACTTACAGGTGGTATAATTTGTTGGTATAATTTTGGCACTGTTTTGACTAAAAAAGCAGGAAATCCCCTTGAAAGTGTCCGTTTAAACCGCCTCACTACAATCTAAGAGGTTGGCGACATCTTTATGGTTATCAAGAGGGCAACTCCTTCGTTTAGTTTGTTGGAGTTAATTTTTATAGTTCTGTCACATACTTAGCGAGGAATCTTGCTAACTCTGTTTCCAAAAAGTCAGCCGTCACTTGAAAGGGTCGTTTGGCGCCGCTGTTTTAAGTCGGATAAAGCTAGGCATTTATCTGAAAGACGTTGTGGTTCAATTTCTTTCTCAGGTACGAGTGAAGAATCTGTGGCCGAGGTCATCCGTGAACTGTCCAGCTTGGGGTTTGAAGTTTGGAACACGTGCCTCGGTGATCATGGTGTTACTCTGGCATTCACTTGACCCTCCCCTCCCTCCGAATAGGTGAGTCGTCTTGTCATAGAAGTCAGAGTAAAAATGAAAGCAAGCTTATGAGCTTTATTCATATACCAATAACGATATTGTGCCTGAAATGTTTATCGAAACCAATCATTAACGCCAGTGGCACAGTGTAGTTGTGTAAAGACTGTAGCCTTCGCACATTTGCCATCGTTGACAAATTCTCCGCATAAAGCTAGAGTCCTTGGAGAATGTTACTGATTATTTTCAACTTAATGTACGACCCAGCCAGCCAGGGTTTCCAGAAATGCTACAGTTTCTTTATACATGCACCTTCACAAACTCTTTCAGTTGCTACTATCTCTACTAAAATTACTCTCACGACCTCTTTTCCAAGGTGTCTGAATACATTATCTAAATTATGCACAGTAATTTGTCTCCGTCTCTCGAATGCATTTTATATCCGTGAACGAATATTACAGTGCTTGTCCAGATCAATTTACATGTTAACGTATTTTATTGCAAGAGATGTAAAAGTCCTTGTACGTTTTGGTCCGTTTTGTGACGTGCATTAAATAATGTTTTGAGTTCGCTTTCAACCTTGCGTAAAATATAATTTATGTGAGGTCTTCGAAGACGAAACATCCTTTCTTCATCAGTTCGTGTCAGAGTGGTTGAAGCCATCTCTAAATACTTTCTTCAATCTTTCTCTCTCTTATAGTTTCCTTGAACCTATTCCTGGTTCTCTTGGATTTCCTGATACGGACAGCGTCTGGTATTTTTGATTTAATCGATCGGACACCCTGGTTGTTACACGATGTCGTGAACGTGTCGTTGACAGAAGGACTCATGTCAGCGGTTTTATGCAACAGTTATTA